ATAAATTTGAAAAACAAATGCGAAATACTCTCACCTCAGTGATGCTTCCCCTTTGCCGCGCTAGTTGAACATAGCAGCTAATTAGCAGACGACACTGTCGGGATTATTATTTTTTTCTTTGTAGCAGGGTGAGATGATGACATCCGCTTCTCAAACTTAAGTCTAAACTTGACCGGAAACTATCAGACAATTCCAGTTGCACCCCTTAGCCCTTATTTAAGTGCCTTAGGCCTTGGTTTTCTGCATTCGCGTCTAGCGAAGGCCCAGTTCGACGGAAGGTTAAGGGCGAGGGTAAAGGGATATGCAGCCACTGAAACAAAGACAACACGAAACCTCGCTTGAAAGGAATGGATGTGAGAATTTTCCCATATTCCGATGCCCCCGTTGACAAATGGCAGAAAAAAAAAAAAAGACAGAAGGAAGCCCATCAATCAAAGTAATCAAGCAACGGCACTCATGTTTGAAATGATATTCAACAGTGTGCTACTCCAAATAAATATTAGACATCTTTTGAATGGTTGGTTGTATTGGATTTTTGTTTGTTTGTTTGTTTGTTTTTTTAATCGCTTTACATAACTAGCTAGCTCATGCAGACAGAGTTAATAATAACCACACAAATGTCAGACAAATACACAGCAAACAAGACTTCACCACAATGTACCGGTACGGCATTTCATGACTGATCAGATAGCTAAGCGACATTCAGAAGCTACATTAGCTAATGTAGCATCCAATGTAGAAACAACATCAGCTGATTTAGCTTCTACTGTATCCGTAAACAGGATTTTGACATTTGACTTTTCATGACTTAGCTTAGCATAATCCCTTACGTGAAGCACTACATTGTACATAAGTCCATTTGCTGTCAATTTTTCACCCGCGTCTGACATAGCCTTCACACTAGCTCTAAGCCCTAGCCGAAACTATTAACAGCTGACATTAGCTCTAACCTCTGGACCTAGCCTAGCACTAAGGCCACCCCGAACTACAAACAACAGCCATTAAAGCTAACCCTAGCATATAGTGTTAGTGTCGTGCGACAGTTCTGGTTGCTGCCCTTTAGAAAAGTTTCATCAGAGTCTAGTTCCTCCCTCGAGATTTCCTCAAAAAGTAAGGAAGCGTTGAAGAACGTCAGGAGATAAGCCGAGAGACTCGACGTGATGGCAAAAGAAGAAGAAGAAGAATCAAAAAGTCACATCTAGCGCGCGAACTGAGGTCTGTTATCGCGTTAGAACAGCGTGTGCGGAAATGTATTGCTTTTGTGATGCGGATGCCGGCGGGGAGCAGAGTTGCGCAAAAGATATAGAATACAGACAGTTTCCCATGCATGAAATTGCAACAGATTTTGTGATATCAACGTGAGACGATTCAGGGATTTTGGGGGGAAAAAAAAAAGATTAAAAATAAAGGCCTTTGTCTTTCGTTTCATCTCGACGGCCCAAAGTCAATACATCTTTGGTTGGAAGTGCATGGCTTTTGTTTGGAAAGAAATGTCGAAAATGAGACTGTGTAGCTTCCAAGATTCTGTGCAACGAGTATCCAGGCTCGGTAATAAACAAATCACCCAAATGGGTTACTGTACTTTGAAGCTACATTAAAAGGCGGGTGCTTGTCAGAATGTCTTGAGGTCAAGTCAAGTTTATATGGCGAGTCCTTCATCACAAAAGAGTCTCAAAGGGCTGTCACAGTTGACAAAGATTAGCAACATCCCCTCATCTAACCCCCCCCCACCCCCCACCCACCCAAGCCCTCCCCCCTGCGCCCCTTCCCAACCGGACCGTCTAGCTAGCCGGCCAGCCAAACAGACAGACGGATAAACAGATAGATTTATGTTGTTTTAATGGCCAAGTTGACCTTACTTTCAATCCTCTTACCCGAAAACACAATAAATCATCAGCATCTGCGGCACGCTTGACTGGCGGCATCCACGATCATTTTATTTGTCAGGAAAATTGATATTACACCCCCGCCCCCCCCCCTCATCTCCCGCCCACCCGTCACAATGCAGCAGATTATTAATAACAGAAGAAATGCCAAAACTCACACAATATTCCAGCCAAATCCTGTCACTCTTATTTTATTTTTTATTTTATTAGGGGGGTTGCTGTGTCATTGGCTTTTACTTTAAACAATAGCCACGCAAAGACTACATGGGAAGGCTTTTAAGGCCAATTTATGACAAGAATTTCAGGCACAATAGTAGAAAATCCAACAAAGCACACAGCATGCGAGGCATCCCGGAGTCTGGGAATTTGAGGTTTCGAATTAGTGCGATGTATCAAATACTTGTGGCAGGGGAAATACGTTTCGGGTGTTGAACCCGCATGCCTCGTCCCGGTTCGCCGGTATTCCCTTTCACACAGCCGCCCTTGCCGCTAACGTGCATGTGGTGTTGATGCCGCGTTCCCAAAGCAAACACGTTAAAGTCACCCGAGTACTCGGTCGGTCAATATGTATGCGTGAAAAGTCTTGAGGGACTTTTAAGTTTGTGGTGGGAGTCTGAAAATAGCTTGTGGGAGATTGGCACCACGAGCGCATTCGTTTGAATTTGAATAAAAGCAAAGCGACTCCGCACCCTGAGAGATGTAAGAAATGGCTTCTGGATGCAAACGACCGTCTCCCAGGCTTAATGGGGTTGCAGCGGGAACGGGGATCCAATCAGGGGTTTCTAATAGAGGCCTCCCCCCTTCAATAACGAGGAAGTAACTCTGCCGTACATTCATAACGAGACTGTCAGGTTAGCACAATTCGCCACAGGCCCTCCGATCCCGCGACATTTGTCCCTCAAGGTCGTGGATTAATTTCGTCCCCCCCTCTGCCCCCTCACGGCCCCTCGAGCATTCCGGCATTTGCACAGTCGCTCAATCTTTAAAAGGCTGCTTTCTGAGACTCCACCGGTACGTCTGTAATCAGCGGGTCACACCGAGAGATTTCTTCGGTCCAGATCACTGCTTACATGGCCAGACAGCGCAGTTTACATTTTCAAGCCATTCCAAATTATGGACTGCTTGCAAATGTCACTCACAATAACCAGCTATTGATTGCTTGGAAATGTCACATGCGACCTTGCGGTCGTAAACACGGCAGGCAAGAGAGTAAGTGTACAGATTAAAAAAAAATTACAAAATAAAAATTCAAACTTTGCCTGACCTCTTTTGGCTTTGGGATGTTATTGCATTGATATTTCTGTCAGAAAAATCATTAAAATGCGCACGATATGGACACGGCCTCAAGACATCAATCAAAAATGACATCTTGGAGGCCTTCAATTCCGCAAGCTCTGCCCAGCTAAAACCTTGACACACTGGAACCACAAATTCCACCTGCGAAGAAGGATTCTTGATAATACCGAACAGTTAAATACCGACCCGTCCGGGTCCTCAGACAAAACCACTTGCTTCGGCGTTTATTTATGTGGCGGCATCTTTGTCGCTATAAGTCGTCCAATTAGAACAGGCACTGCTTTAAAAGAACCAGTTGGCCCATTAAAAGTCAAAGT